CATGAGTTAGATCCCGGGACATAGTAGGGTTAGAGTACACTTCTAGACTCAAACTGTCCGTGCTTACCGAAATAATTACAGACCATCTATTAAAAAAGTCCTCACATGTAGCTCTCAAAAAAAAAAAAACCTAGGTCATGAGAGTTTCGTCTGATTATGCTGCCAGCTGTGTTCTTTTTCCGTTGATGAGATAAAGTTATGGCACAACGTAAATAAAACTACAAAAATTGTTTTAAATAATTTTTAAATTGTGTGAAAATGTTATCTATGAAATTTTTGGATAAATGTAGCGTGTATATATATGATGTAAATAAAATGAGCAAAACTTAACCGCTTTTTACTATCAGTCAACCTAACACCATTATTACCATCTTAGCAAAATTTAACAGCTTTTTATTACGAAGAACTAACATTTGCTGCTAGACTAAATTTTAGGGACCAAAATTATATATTTGAAATTTTAAGGACGGATACTAAAATGGAAATAAATTTGAAGAACTAAAATTATATTAACCCTATTATAAATTATAATATATTCAAATTTGGAAATTAAGATTGAATTGAAAAAAGAAAATACTTAGTCAAGTTTTTCAATTATACATAACCATGTGTTCTAATTTTTTTCCCATAAGTTTATAATTAAATGCTATTAAATACTAATATTTTAAAAATAGTATACGATTGGAGAACTACTTGACGTAATTAATATAAGCAACTTGATGTTGGTTAGAAAAAGCCCAAGTCTGGCTCATTTAATAATTCAGGTTTTCTAATATGAGTTTAAATTTTGTGTTACTTATGAAGTGCATATTTGTTGCAGCTTGCATTGTGATTCACCTGGGGAGGTCACATCTTGAGACTCAGAGACAATCCGTCCTCAAGCATATCGGGTCAGAATACAGATTTTCTATACCATGATCAAGTTTAATAATTCCAAGCAACAAAATATTATTTTATTTGATATTATAATTACAATTATTCATACAAATATTTTTAAGAGTAAAAATACTTTAATTCCCTTCTATTTGCCTTAATTACATGGACCTCTCCTCTATTTTAAAAATATACACTTAAATCCAAATTGTTAACTCTATTAAAAATATTTTAAAAAAATATTTAAAGGAATTTTATTTACTAATATACATTTTCATCATATTAAATCCATAATTTTTACTAAAACTATTTTGAAGAATTTAAGAACTTTTTCTTTTTTTTAATTTTATTTTTTTGCAAAAAATTTTAAGTAACGTAATCAACATAGATATAAAAATTTGATTAATTATGTTGATATATATATTTGACTAAATATGTTTATAAATGTAGCAAAAGATGCATTTAAAAATTTTAAATCAGAAATTTACATGATTTATATAATCTGTCAAACTTATATCATAATTATAAATGTTATCATTTTATTCGATACTATAATTATAATTATTTCATACAAACATTTTTTTAAATTAAGAAAATATGAACTGAAATCTTTTGATATAGTAATAGGACAACATTTTAGATATAGGCTTAAAGTATACTTTTTATCCTTTAACTTTAAAAAGTAAATTTTTAGTCTTCTAACTTTAGAATTGTTAACAAAAAATGATGATATTAACCTTTTGAATGTTGATAAAAAATTACTAAATGATATAATATTAATTTTAATTTTCAAAATAATCACAACTGTTACAAAAAAAATCATCATTTAAAACTAATAATTTTAAGACTAAAAGACTAAAAGTATACTTTTAAAATTAAGAGACCAAACTAAAATCTTCTATAAAGATAAAATTAAAGAATTAAATATATATTTTGGCTTTAAATATATTTAGTTGTACGGCTTCTCTCCTCTGCTTTCCGTATCCGCTGACGTCCGCTGCCTTGAAACGAGGCCGTTTTGACAGCTCTAAACTCTTCAGTGAAGCCAACGCGGCTGACATGGGGGAGAATAGCATGAGCGCATCACCGTGACTTTTTTATTTTTGTAGCCTGTTAGACCTGCCCTCATTTATTTTCCTTCAACCGCATCATATAATACTAACTCCGGTTTTTAATATGAAAGTTAACTAATTAATTTAAGTAGATTAAAAAAATTAATTAAATTAATTATTTATAATAAATATATGTTATTTTTTTAAAAAATATTCTTATTGATCAAATATATTGGCTGATTACCTTAAAAAATTAGATAAATATGAGAGATAAAGTGAATTGGGGTCTTATATTTGAATAATAGTATTGTACTGACAGTGATAAAATTAGTACTAAATTACTGATAATAATAATAATAATAATAATAAGAAAAACTGCAAGCTCCTCAACTTTATTCTTTTTTTTAAAAATCTCCCTTAAACTTTGAAAGAACTTTGTAACAAATTACCTAATTTTGAAACTTTATGCAAATAACCATTTTACTAGTTTATATTTTACTTATAAGTACATATATTACTTTCGATACTTAATATAAAATCAAATTATTTGGACTATAAATTATATCTTAAGTTAAGGACTGGTGCTAATTACTTAATATAATAAGTGTTAATTACACAAAACTCGTCTAAAACCATGTGCATGTATTAAAGTTTATTACTCCTCCGGTCCTTAATATAAGACCCATTTAACTAATTTGATTAAATTAAAGAAGTTAGGTAATTAGTTAATTATAAGAAATGTGACATGTTTTTCTTAAAACACCATAATAATCTTTCCTAATATCTCCTCTCTCTTTTCTACTTGATTATGATTGGGGGAGTATTTTTAGGGGTAGTTTAGAAAAAATTGATAAATATAAGAAGTGAGTCTTATATTTAGGATCAAAATCAACTCAATAATTGGGTTATATATTAAGGATCGGAGGAGTATATTATTAGTACTGCTACTTTTTTTTGGTGAATTATTTTGTTGGAAAATTTGTCAGGTATAATATCATATTAGCCTTCGTCCCGCTTCACGCATGAACACGTGGCATTGTTGTATGTTACTACCTCCGGTTTTAATTATAAGACCCAGTTGACTAATTTGGGGAGATTAAGGAAAGAAGTTAAGTTAGTTAGTTGTAATAAATAGGTGTTATCTTTCCTAAAATATCCTTACTAATCAACTATATTGGCTAGGACTACAATTATTAGAGGGACTATCTTGGGAAAAAATACATAAATATGAGAGACAAAGTGGATTGAGGTCTTATAATTAGGACCAAAATAAAAGTCAAATAAGGTCTTATATTAAGGACCGGAGGTAGTATTATATAATACTATATATATATATATGTAATGTAGTTAACGGCCTCATTTCAAGGCGGCGAACAGCAGCGGATACAAAAACAGAGGGATACAAAAAGCAGAGGAGAGAAGCGGAACTCGTATTAGCTCTAATTCTCTAATTAAATATTGTCACATATGATTCTTACAATTAATAATGATTTATTAAAATCTTGAAATTTTATGTGCTTAAATTTTTATCATAAAAAAGTTATGTGCTAAGATTAGATTGAAAAATTGTACTTCTATTGTTTTTGCCAATATTAACTTTACTAGGGACGTGAATTATTCACGCGGGCAACTTGCTTTAAAAAGAGGAAAGATAAAAGAAATAAAAAAAAATGTGATTATTGTCTGCTAAATCACTTTTAAGAAAACAATAGCAGCCAAGATTTTCAAACTTAGAGTTTAAGCAAACTGGTTACAAAAATGTAGAATTATACCGTGAATTTGAATAATAAACTCATAAGAGTTTAGCTCTAATCAATAATACTAGAACTATTAAAAGTATATAATTAAATAATTAAAATAAAAAATAACAACAATTGGGTTTTAATATATTTAAGCCCGAACTTCTCCCTATTTTCAGTCTTTCACCTCCTTCTTGAGTCCTTTGATGATAAAACATAGAAGAAAACTTCAAAGAATACACACCACTCTACAATTTTAAAATAAGCAACTTATTTTTGGCATTTCTGGTTTTTGTATTAATATTAGTTTTTTTCTTTTGACTTTAATTTTTATTTGGATGGGTCCTCTATACGTTCTATAAACCAAGCTCTGCTCGTTACATATTTGACTTGCTCAACTCAGTAAAAATTCAACAAGCTTGCCAAGTTTGACCAAGCCAGTTGTGAGTTCAATTGAGTTTGCCAGCAGTACAAGTTTAAAAATAAGATAATGCGATTTTGTAAGGTAGAAATATAAAAACAAGTAAATTTGGTGAGTCAAGTTGTGAATTTGACAACAGTGATAACACCTACTAGTTAAGATTTTTTTTTTGACCAAATACTAGTTAAGATTTTTTTCAATAGAGAAAGGAAACAAACAAATTTATAAGATAAAATATGAGCAGGATGATAATTCAAGGAGTCAGCTTATAAAACATGCATGATTGATCTCTTATAACGACCTAGTTATAAAATATCTTAAGGGCTGAGGTGCGCTCAGCACCCTGAACTATTTACCCAGGTACGTCCAGTGGCCTAAAGTAATTTTGGGTGCATCCAGTGTCCTAAACTAATTAAAATGGTGCGTCCATATCCCAGGCTAACAGAAATGTTATGTTTAATTGCTACTTTTCTAACTCAGCTTAAAGTTGACCCTATATATTCTAAATGGTACACATAAGAACATTTGATATGTATTATTTTTACTCAAAATTGAATTTATTTCCTTCCTCTTCTTCTAAATAAATTGACTTTTGAGTAAGAATAATACACATCGGGTGCCCATGTGTCTACCATGTAGAATATCATGGGTCAACTTTAAGCTCAGTCAGGAAAGTAACAGTTAAACATAACATTTCTGTTAGTTTAGGATATGGACGCACCATTTTAATTAGTTTAGGACACTGGATGCACCAAAATTACTTTAAGCCACTGGACGCACCTGGATAAATAGTTCGGGATGTTGGGCGCACCTTAACCCTAAAATTAATGATTCTATCAAACTTGTTTCATTAATAATATTCTATGCTAGCATTTCTTGAACCGTACATTTCCCCGCAGGCTTTGAGGCTCCCCAATGGCTGAGATAGCGATTGCTGGGGTAATTGTTCCCGCTGTTGCAACTCTTGCGGCACCTGTTCTGCAACTTCTGTTGTCCAAAGCTGGAACACGCTCCATTTCGCTTGCTGGCACACATGAAGTGCTAAACTATGGATTGGCGCAGCTACGTGCTCAACAAATGGACAAAGACCGTGCAGTTTGGAGCCATAGCGAGCAGAAAGATCCGTCTGAGGCTTACAAGCTTTGGAAGGAGCGTGTATCACATATTGAGAAAGAGGTGGCTTTCGTGAATGAAAAATATCATAAACTAGGGACAAGGAAACGGCGTCTTTTAAAAAGAATTGGTTTTCAAAACGAGATCAAAAGGGTACTCAGTCACGTTATCAGAATTCTTGAACAATGTCCAGAGGAGATTCTAGTTGATAAGCAGCTAGAGTGGGTTATAAAGGAGATCAGCGTTCCACCAATTGGGAAGTATCCGACTCTTAACAAAGCCTTCTGGGAGATTCAGAATCTGCTAACAGATAATGAAGTAAAATGCGTGGCACTTCACGGACAAAAAGGGGTCGGGAAAACTACAATAATGAGAAACTTAAATAACCACTTCTGTAGTGTTGACAAGTTGTTTGATATGGTGATTTTCATCAAAGTGCTGGCTGATGAGCAGACTGATCCGCAGGCTGAATACCTTGACATTTTGCAAAAAATTGCGGTTCGAGTAAAGGTGAATGGAGAAGGTAATGAATCTGAAGTTGTTGGAAGAATACAGAAAGTTCTGGAGAACAAAAGATATTTGCTGATTTTAGATGACATAAGGTACAAACCCGATGAGATTTGGAAAAAGTTGAATATTTCAAAGGACCAAAAGGATAGTAAGGTGGTAATAACCACTCATTATCCTCTTGCTTTAAAGTCGAATTATATTAATAGGGACGTCAAGCTTAAAGAGTTATCCCCTCATGAAGCACAGTCTATGTTTCGAGACATTGCTAGTGTCAAGGTTTTACCACCAAACGCTAAATTGATATGCAAGAGGTTCTGCTCTTGTCTTCCCCTGCTTATAGATCCTATTGCAAAGTCTTTTAGCTATCAAGAGGATCCTCCTGATTGGCTTACGGCTTTGAATGAATGTATGCCTTGGCCTCAAGTTGGAGTTAATGGTTTGAAAGAGATATTCTCAACCTTGGAAAATTATTGTTATAAGCGGCTACGTGGTCAAAGTGAACAAAAATGCTTCCTTTACGCTTCACTATATCCTGCAAACAGCAAGATATACACAGATTACTTAGTGGAATGTTGCATAGCTCAGGGCTTTCTTGGTAAGGTTGATGCAACTACTAAGTACAGTGGGATGCGCACTAGAGCTATTGATTCAGTATTGAGGTCCCTTGTTAATGTTTCATTCTTGGAGGAAGGGGAACAGATGAGGTATGTTAAAATGAATGACCTTTATAGGCAACTTGCTTTACATATATTATATAACAACTCTGAAGGCAGAACTTATTTTGATAATGAAAAACATAAGGAGCCCTTCAGATCAGAATCATGGCAGCATGCGAGGTGGGTTTCTATGGTTGGTAGTAAAAGAGATAGTCTACCAGCAAACCAGAATTGTGGGAGTCTTCAGGCACTGTTGCTACAAAAGAATCCGAGGTTGGCTGAAATCCCATTAGACTTTTTTAAAAGTATGAGCAATCTTCTTGTTTTAAACTTATATAGGACTAAAATAAGCAAGTTACCATCTTTGACAGAACTAACTGGGCTTAAGGCGTTCTATGTCAATGGTTGTTCAAGATTGAAAATATGTTCGCATGATATCCAACCACTTCAACATCTTGAGGTATTGGACATTCGAGGTACTAAAATAAATTTTGTGCCATACTTGGCAAGTTTGTGGTGTCTAAGAATCTCATACTTTGCGAGCAGCAATTATGATGGAATTTCAGAGCTTCACAGATTAGAAGAATTAACCATTGAAGTGAAGTCCCCATCAAAATGGTGCGATGATGCTGAAAATATTATACAAAAAGTTGCTTCTTTGGAAAATCTAACAACTTTCCGATGCAGCTTTCCTTCTTCAGAAACCCTTGGAAAATTCCTAGAGACCAGCAAATCAAGGAGAGGTAAGAAGCAGTTTACTCCATGTCAATTTTTCGTGAGAAGTGAAAACTCACAAAATCCAAAAATCATTGAGTCTCTTGACGACGATAGAATTTCCAAGTGTGTGAAGTATTGTAATGGTGATGAAAGGGTTGACTTGGCAATCACTGAGATGCTCCCTCAAGTTAAGGCATTTGAGCTAATCTGTCACAAGAGCATTGGAACTTTATTAGAGTTGGTAGAGACATCAAACCCAGAATGTCTCCATGATTTACTTATAGAAGGGTGTAATCAAATGTCAATCATTGTTGAAGGAGATAAGGTATACAATATCAATGGCACCAATGCAGGTCTCTTGCCAAACTTGCAACAATTACATTTGGATAATTTGGAACACTTGAGGATTGTTTTTAGGGGCCCCTTCTATTTTGGAAGCTTTTCCATGCTGCATACTTTGAAATTAAAGAATTGTCCGGAGTTGACGAGTATCTTTTCTCAGGTAGCAAATATTGATTTTCCTAAACTGGAGAAATTAGTGGTTCAAAATTGTTCAAGACTTGAAGTTCTTTTCAAGGTCCCTGCTAAAGGGGAGCAACGGATACTGCCGGAATTGAAGGTGTTAGTATTGGATAGCTTGTCAAACTTCAAGTTCATATGCTCAAGTGAAAATTTGGTATGGCGTTCTTTGGAGAAGTTAAATGTTCGAAAATGCCCTCACTTGAAAACGCTACCTTTCAACACAATCAATGCAGCTAATCTGAAAACCATTGAAGGTGAGCAAGAATGGTGGAGCAATTTAGACTGGACTCATCCCATGGTTCATGAGAAATTTACGTCTGCATTTTCAGCTTCTAATTAATATTTCCTTTGTGCTTTTGATACTCGTAATGATCATTGTTGGTGTCAAAAGTAAAAGACCTGTTTGTTTGAGTGTGATGTTTGATTCAAATGTTTCCTCGTAGCTCATACTAATCTGTAATGTAAAGTGTAAGACTTGTATGTCTTGTTGCACTTTCAAATGATGGTACGTACGCTGCAAAATCTCAAAAATTACTAGAAGTTATTTTGGGCAATCTTGTTCCTTTCATCTTAGGGAGATGAACTTGGCTTGAACTCATTCTAGGGTGGGCCACATGTTTTACTGTGCGTGTTAACTTCTTAATTGTTAATTTGGGTCGTGTTATTTATGGTTGCATCTCAACTAAACAATGATAGTCTTAGTTTTTAACAAATCGTCTTTCTCAGTTCCTCTTCTTAGCCCTTTTTCCACCTCAAACTCACATCTTAGCATGCACTAATGGCCCGTTTGGTTGGATTACAGGAATGAGAATTACATGTAATTCTGATGTAAAAGTTTGATTCACTTGTTTGGTTGGGTTTTGTAATGTAAAGAAGATTACATCTTGGTATCCTAATTCCCTTAAAAGCCTGCATCTGGATTACATAGATAGACCCTATGAATGGGGATTACAGGTGGAGAAAAATACATTATTACCCTTAGAAAAATCAAACAATACTTGGATCCTTCTCTTCTATCAACATTGTCAATTCCCCCATCCTTCGCCTTGACAGCACCGCAGCCCCCATGGAAACGCATCCCCACCCTCATCGTCAGTTTTCTTTTCTTCTTTTGTTTTTTTGTTTTTGAATACAAGGGACAAGTTGAAACTTGGATCTCATCATCATTTCCTTCTAGGCATAACTTCTACCCACACCCACATTTCTTTAACCCCAATATCGAAAGCCCTAAAAAATCATTCAACTTAGAAATCTATTTACAATCAAATCCATTCTTGATCAATCACTTCCTTACTCCTCCTCGATTCTTCGATTTGTAAGAATTTTTTTCATTGTTACTTTTTTGTGATGATTTTTGATTTTTGGATTTGCTACGAGGAAGAAATACAAGATGCAGGAAGGTGACTTTTTTTTTTACAAGGATATTTTTGACTTTTTAATTTTATCTTAATTAAGTAAATATAAAAAGTATATTTCATTACCCCATTCGTAATATTGTACCAAACAAACTTATTGTAATCATTATTACATTACATTACATTCCAACCCATTACATTTCCTAATATTCAGCGAAGCAAACGGGTGCTAAGGGTGTGTTTGGTATGAGGGATTCGGAGGGGAGGAGAGGGAGGAGAAAGGATTTTAATCATTTCTCTTTAAAATTTTTCCTCCCCTCCCCTCCCTAACCTCTCCTCCAAAATTAGGAGGATCTTAAGGGAAATGACAATATTTTACCATGTTATGACCATTATATCTATATTTTGTCATGTTGTGACCATTATACCCATATCTTAAATAAAATAAGGGTAAAATTGTCTGTCAAAATATTTTTTCCTCCCCTCTTCTCATGAACCAAACAAGGTAATATTAGAACTCCTCCCCTCCCCTTCCTCTTTATAAATCCAAACAAGGTAATATTAAAATCCTTCTACTCTCCTCTCCTCCTCTTTCCTCCTTTAAAATCCTTCCCCTCCTCTTCCTCTCATAGCCAAACAGACCCTAAGCCTTTTTCAATTGTAAGTAATATGAGATTTTTCTTAAACACAATCTAAAATTCCAACATTATGATGGCAATAGTTTCATCAACTCCATGCCTTACTTTACTGTCATAAGTTGTGTTTTTGACTGCGAAATCATTAGAATCTAAAGTGAATCTGAAACAATCGTAGCTAGTTTTGTTTTTTACTCAACAATTCGAAAATGAAAAAAGAAGTAAAGATTTTAATTTACAGGACAAAGATCAAGGCCTGTTTTATTACGATGAAGCTACAATTATGACAATTAGAATTTCTCTCTGGCTGATAATACAAATTGCAGACCCAAAGCATACCAACATACGCTCGGTTTTGTATCAGTCTCTAGCGAGTTTCTGCAAGCATTATCTATAATAGAGACTCTTCCACAAGGCATGCTAAATCCTCTGCTTTCGTGGAATGATGGGGAGATGGAAATTAAACCATCTAGTCGTACAGTAGGCAACTTAAGTGCTTTGATTTGCATTTGATTAGGACAGGCTTTCTATTTAAGTTTTTTTGGGGCCAAAGCTCTCCATTTAAGTTAAAACAATATTTTCAACCTATACATTGCCAGCAAATTTGAACTCAACCTTGCGAATTATAAACGAACCCTTTATCAATCGGACTAATATTTGTTGTTAACAGTTCGCCAAGTAAAATTCTACAATCATATATGCCAACATTTAACAAAAAAATTATGCCAAAGCAAAAGAAATTATACAATGCACAGTGAAATAATCAAGGATGATATTTTTAAAACTTTAAAGTTTATTTGTTCTGATTTACCTAATAAAAATATATTAAATATATGAGGCTAAATATCTAAGCTTCTTATAAAGAAAAATCCTAACATGTATGTGATAACTGATGAGTCCTGACCTCATTTCATTACATGGCGGAAAATGTAGCCATTATAGCTACTTGATAAAATCACGAAGTGAAATTAACATTAGAGATACAATACCCAATATCGGCAAACAAAGAACTCAATCTAGCATGATCACACTAACCTAACCATCAGTATCCTCATCCAATTATGCCTTTTGTATTTGGGTGGTCTAAGAATATTCCAGTCTAACTTATCTCCCTTTGGTTTTTTGAAATACCCCAAACTGTTTCTTGGCAATGATTGGTTACCGCCATTATCATTCTTGGGCAATTTAGTTGGATTTTGTGCTTCAGACGTTACTTCAGACTGTTTGCTTTTGACGTCGCCATTTTTTCTGAATCCAAATGTAAAATAATGCGTCAGCTAACCAGGGTCAAATCCAAAGACGTAATATTTATCTGGATTTTGGGACTAAACTAAAACCATTGATGCAGAATCATCCTATAACAACACCCCCCCCCCCAAAAAAAAAAGAAAAAAGGAGATGGGGATGGGAGGCAGACCACACCGACAAAATTAAACACCATAATCACTAAGGACTTGGTTCAACCGGCAATGGGTTATACCAAGTTAACTAGAGGTCTCAAAATTGAGCGCCCTAATGATTGAGCCCAGCTCAATTCAGATTAGCCTGAACTCCAGGTAAATACTCCAGTTAAAGTGGGGTAGACCTACGATACAGGGTGCTTTTGCACAAACAAAAATTAAACACCATAAAAAAATCACATTCAACTTAGTATTATGGGAAAAGAGAAGCCACCAAACTTAAATATTTCCAGTTTGATTCCTAGAACTAGGAGTTTCAGCTGCTGGCCGATGGAGCCTTGCGTCTTCTTCATTGAGTCTCTATCCAGGCAAGAATTTGCCATTAGAAATGAAAGGAATGAATAACAGATAAATATCAAGCAGGGAAACTTTTAAATTCTTGATCTTAATATTCACATTAATTCGTCTATTAAAACTTTGAAATGACATCCAACCTTTAATTGCTCCTGGATGGGGATCACCTTCCATTATGACAATACTGCATACAGTTAGAGAGAACACTGAAAATCATGAAATAGCTAAAAAGAATAATTCAGAATATGCAGATATTAGAAACATATCAGAGGCACTAATGGAATTAAGTCGCGAAAAACAAACTTGGTATAGAAAGGGTTTATATTGTGCTCTTTAAAAGGAGCTATAGGTAAAACGGCATTAATGATAACTTGCAGGATTTCACACTAAAGAATTTTTTAACGCTACTCGCCAAGAGTAGATTCGAGGACGATCATGGAATTCAAACAATTCTATCAAGAAGATTGATATTTATTGCTAAAAAGAATAGATTTAAGACGTGTGGAACCACATTAAGCAACGATGAGTCATAATTTGTGATGAAAAAAGCCCTAGCTGACAATGAATGTAGTCGGTTAGTAGCCAACCAGTCATAATCTGACACAGAACTTTTGGGTGAAAATTATTTCAGAATTCAGGTAATATGTCAACACACTCAGACCGCCTATTTCAAGGTTGACATCCAAATTAGTACCAAGAAGAATTAGTTCCAAAAATATTGACATCAGATTTTACTTCATCCTCCTCTTTCTTGGATTTCTCCTCTCTTAGAGCTGCTCTTTGCATGAACTATTGAATGAAGAAATATTATAACCATATTGAGTCATGAAAATATCACAAATATGAAGTCTTGAACCAAGCAATGATAAAGCCAAGCCCCAGGAAAAGAAAGGCGGAGGGGGGGAGACCATGTTTGATTCTTGTTTTACCTTCAAGTTCTTGAGCGTGCTGGAAAGCACTCGTTTCGCCATTATGATTTCCAGCTTTCCACCAAATGCCTAGATCAAAACTGAAAGCCAGGATCATAAATTGAAAATTTAGGACCGAATGTCCTAAATAGATAGGAAAAATTGAAAATTTAGCACTTGATTACTTGTGGATCGTATGTTCGTAGGGTGTTTATCCCTACCAACGATTTATACGATTAACGCGTAGATTCCTAAAATACAATTATTATGGCCATAATTTGATGGGTTTATACTTAGATTAAAAATCTATCAGTTGATCCATATTGCTTTGTTTAAACATTTTTATTTACTTGCCATTGAATTTGTGTGAATTGTAAATTACAAACAAATGGAAGATTTTTACCACTTATTTACGTTTTCATAGCTTTTCAAGCAAATATATCAAAGGATTTACAAAATCCATAACTTGGCAGATTAAACAGGGGAACATACTCTGTTCCAGTTTGTAAAAATAAATTTTTTTTTTTTTTAAAAAGGTGAACACACGTTTGTAAATGACAGCTTCTCAGATCCAAACTAGATAATCCCGGCCTCGTTTGTAGGGTTGACGAATGCCCCGGGGGGGGGGGGGAATTTCAGGTTATTTCAAATGCCGCTAAGAAAAATGTAGAGACGCTTGGTCAAGATACAAAGAATGCTAACAAATTGTACATCAATATAAATGAAGTCGAACTGAGAGAATAGAGTATAGAAATTCCACTACCTTCCCATTCTCTTCCTCTCCACTACTCTTCTTTTCTCTTCACAACCATTGGATCAAAATTCCAATGATCGAGATTTAACATCTTATAAAAATAATGTTATTAAAAAAAATAAATTTAAACTATTAAAATCTGGTCTGAACAGTTTACAATTGTATTAAAAAAAATTTGCTCTATAATAATAGTCTGTAGTTATGAACTGTTCAGATTAGATTTTAACAGTTTAAATTTATTTATTTATTTTTTATCATAATATTTATTTTTATAAAATGTTATAAAATATTAAATCTGGACCATTGGAGTTTTGATCCAATGGTTGTGAAGAGAAAAAGAGGGTAGTGGAAGGGAAGAGGATGGAAAGGGTAGTGGAGAGAATCCAATTCCATAGAAGCAATGAGCGAAAGCGAAGAGAGCAGAGAAGAAAGTCTTGGAATATTCCCAAGCACATCTGACTCACTCTCCTTGGCCACGTTTCACTAGTTTGATTTGGGGTGGAAGCTCTTGCAAGCTGACGCAGATGAGAGAAATCAAATCAGAGACGCCGCGTGGGGCCTGCGAAGCCTGAACGGAGGGATTCTGTTGTGATTATTGAGATAAATATTAATAATACATGCATATTGGTCAGAAGGAAAATATTGAGAAAAATAAGAAAAATTATTTAATTATAATATATGTTAGTCTTAACCCATTTGATTAATCTGAAAAGATTAAAAAAAATTACTAATTATTTAATTATAGCATATATTACATGATCTTTCTAAAATATTTATGCGAATTATTTGATTATATAATAATTTATAAGGGAGACAAATTAATTTGGATAAAAATGATAAATATAAATACTTTGACAATTTCATGGGCCATTTAAACAAATGAATTCAGTAGAGATTATTCTCTTACTATTTAATACTAATTTAATTTTTTATACCAAAAAATAATAATAATTTATCTTTCAGGAACTCAATTTACAAAATTTTAAAATAAATCTGTTTATGAAAGAAAAGTATACATTTGCTCTGTTACATAAGTTTGACCAAGGCCAATAATTACTTCCAATTTCAGGTTTTCAGGTTAGTGCCCTAACAGGCGATCCCCTAAAGAGCAGGCTCTTCCTGAACTCTATTGGCCAAAAAAAAAAAAAACGAGCTCTTCATGAAGTCTCTGCATATTTTTGGCGGCTTGAAAACATTGATCATATTCATGAGGGCATATGAAATCCTTTACACAGAAAATTTGATCCTTGACTCTACTACATGTTTGGGTGAAATGACTGACTCAATATTTTTTTTAATACTACCTTCTGTTTTAAACATCAGATCTAAATTTGCAGTGCAAAACTAGATTTTATATTTAGGACCTGAGGGGGGCAATAACATATATGATAAAAGAATTTAGCAAATTGCATTGCCATGAACGATAAACATAATGCGGTTTTTTTAAACTATGTGCAATAATGAGAATTTTATTTTAAAAAAATATAGCTGATGTGTAACATATTTACAATTGATTTAACCTTTAATTTGGGTGAATTGCACCTGTCTTAAAATTTTTGGAGCTTGCATTAATATACAAGCAAATGAGCAAAATAGAAAACTAGAACCAGGACACAGACATAATGTTAAAACTCTCAATAAACTAATAACTGTAAGTCCAGAATTAGAGGCATCTATAATATAATATTATGCTGTTTATGACGGTAGTGGATCTAGGAAACCTTCACGATGATGAAAACCCACAAACAAGAGAGCCTAACAATCGACAAAACAACTTGCTGTACTTTAGAGGTTATTGAAGAAGCAGCCCAAAGCTTATGTGCAAATTGAAGCGTGACATGTCCCTGATTCCCAGAACGAACAACTTTGAGATCCCCATCGTGGACCCTGCCCTGATCTGCCACGTATATTTCTATCTTCCTATGACTTCTTGGCAGTCAAGAAGCTAATAGTATGAGATGGTGATTCCAGTGAGAGTGGAACCAAGACCTCTTCAGTTATAAGTTGCAGACTTGTAGAAGGTTTTAACAGGGAATCATAGCCATGGGACTCAGACGATGAATAGTTGCTGTTAACACTCCTGCATCAAGCTGATGTGGATGATACAGAGACTGCTCTTACCGCCTTGCAAATATCTGGCATTTTCCTTTCTTCCATGAGCCTTTGGCAAATCTGAGATACTTCGTGTTGCTATTTCAGTGAATGAGGGAATGAATAAATTTTCATGCTCATATGGTCCTCAATCCACGTCCATCTTTCATTGAAAACGAATGGAAAGATCATCCAAGAGAGTATCCAAACAATTTTGCAACGTTTACAAAAGATTGATTTTTCATACAAGTATCATATATAACAAGTGTGATCTCATGAGAATTTTAAAAATATATATAGAAGATGGGTGTATCTTTCAAAGTTCAAACAAATCCTTAAGGGATGTCAAAACAATCTGCTCAACAGTCGATGTCGTCAAAATCGAAGTCGTCAAATGTGGAACCAAAAAATCCTCGATGAATAGGAAAAGACATCAGTTCTGGGTCAATGCTGTAGGCATATGTTTCATTCGCTGAAGGTTCAATCCCAAGTTCCACTGGAGAAAATGACTCAAGATCTGAATCGGATGCTGACTCGCCCAACTGATTTACACTGTCAGCTATAGGAGAATTTGTCACCCAGGAGGCTTGAGTGCTAGTGTCGCTTCTCCTGTAAGCGATTTTATAGTTGAAATACAGTTAAGCGTACATATCCACAATTTTTTCGGTATAGTCTAATAAATAAACAGAGATCCGTGGAATACAGTCATGCATATTTACCCGTCGCTTTCGCTAGCAGTAAGCTTTTGATGCGCGAAGATCCTCAAACTAGAAGGCCGTGACGCTGTAGATTTTAATGATGCCAAGGAATCAAGGGCAATCGTTATGCTATAGATATAGATTCCATTTATTAAAGGAAGAAAAAGAGGTTATGAAATTTACGATGAAATAACGACATATATTAAATTAAAATCGTAAATAGATATCGAATTACCCGGATGACTGTGAGTATCATCATGATCATCATCATCTACCTCAGAGTGAGCCCCTAAGTCGACCTCATTGTTCATGAAGGGATTTGTTCCAATGAAGCTTTGTGTGCAAGTATGATGACCACGATTGGTGATATTGTAAAGGTAAGGCTCCTTGTCATCTCTATGCACTTGTTTGATTGCTTGACAACCTTGATCAAATCGATGAGTGCATCTGAAATATTCTCTGCGCATAGACCACATGTAGTGGAAGTCAAGAGACACATATAAATTGGGAAGTAAATTGTGATTCGAGAATTGAAAGTGGTGGTACCTTGGAAATTTGGCTCCCAATATCTCTTTCTGGCCGTATTTCCTCCAACTATATTCATCTTCAAAAGACTCAGACTGCTTTGTCCATGTGGGGATGACTCTTCTGTAATTTAAGAATTGGTATTCAGGAAAGAAAACCATTTTGTTATAAGCTTACAGGCCAAGGAAAACATCATACAAACAGTTACACCCACACACCTTTCCTGAGTACGCTTTTTGTCCTTGAAGACTTCGTCATTGGAAGGTCGTAATGGCTCATCCACTATCCTCCGTTTTGTGATAGTATTTAATAATCACAGTGAATTGATTGGGGTAATTAAGGAAGTAAATGAAGTTATGGCGCTCACACTAGCAATAAGAACCTATAAAATTAAAATCAAATATTGATAGACTTACCCGGACTGTTGTCAATGTTATCTACCCCAAATTGAGTCATCATATCAACCTGATTATTCACGGATGATTCTGTTCCATTGCAGGCTTGTATGCAAGTGTGCTTGCAAAAATAAGTGAGGAGGAAAATGTCGTCAAGTCTCTGCACTTGTTTGGTTGCTTGACAACCCGTATCATATTTATAAGTGCATCTGTAATATTGTGTGCGTAGCAGGATAAAACAAAAGAGGCATATAAATAATTTACCTTTAAAAAGAGTCATATATAGATGTGAAGTAAGTTATGATTCATGGATAATTGAAAATAGCAGTACCTTGGAAATTTGGAATTAAGAATTGCTTTTGTGCCATATTTTCTCCAACTAAACCCATCCTCAAGAGACTTAGATATTATTGCATGTCTTGCTTCCTTGGTCCTTCCATAATTTAAGAGTCGTTTTAGAAAATACAACTACTTTGTTATAAGCCTAAGAGATAAGGCAAATGACACATAGTTATGCATAGACATACCTCTTATACAATCCCCTCCTTCTGGAAGACAGTAGATGATCACCCCCTATCTCATCCGTTGTGATAGAACTCATATCGTTAGAGACCATGCCACTGGAAGACTTCAGTGG